AATATTCTAATTTTCTGAGATTGTGGATTTGGGGTTTTCATGAGCTGTAAGCCATAATCATCACAATTATGGCAAATCATGGCTTAAACTATCTTGCTTTGCATATAATGAGTCTATCTCATATATTAGTTTCATCTTTTAAGTTACATTACTGAAATAAATGAACTTTTGCATGATATTCTAATTTTTCGAGTTTCACCTGTAAATTCTAAGTGAGGACTATGGAGAGGATGTTTAAAAGCTTTGTTATAAAAGATAAATAATTCTATATAGAATAGAATATAAAGATGTAATACTATTGGGTTATTTCAGGATGATGTAAATGCCATAATATAAATTTTTCCTAAATTTAGGATATTTTACATAAAAAGGATATAATAATAGCTATAGTCGAATGAATGTTTAATAACTGTACCATACTGTTTCCCCATAACCATGTTTCCTCATAAACATGCAAGGCAAAACATGCTAAATGGGGTTCATTTCATCAGTACAGTAAGTAGAAAATGAATACAGAGAAAAGAAAATATATAAATTATACTTTGCAATAATTCAAATACTATATGAAATAGGGTTTTTTTTTGGGGGGGGGGAAGTTAAATAGTACAAAAGCTGAATGAAATTACAAAAGAATTATTACAAAAAAATTGTTTAAAAAATTCAGATGAAACTTTTAGCTATGATATTTTATCAGCTAAAAATATCAACCTGTGTTAATATTTCAGAAAGAGCCAATCTAGTCTAGTGGTTAAAGCACGTGTCTAGAAAACCAGGAGATTTTGAGTCCCAGTCCCACCATAGGTAGAAAAGTCAGCTGAGTGACTTTGAGTCACTCACTCTATCTCAGCCTAGGACATCAATTTTGGTGACAAACTTGTCAGTTAATTCCTATTGCAACCAGTGGATCAATAGTTGATCCAAGAATCATAAAATCATAAGTCTGGAAGGATCCTTAGAGGATTTGCAGTATAACCCCTCCCCCCACCCAAGGCAGGATACCTTATACTATCATGGACAAATGATTGTTCAGTCTTTTTTTGAAAACCTCCAGTGATGGAGAACCCACAACTCTGGCAGGTGAGCTGTTCTATTGATTAATTATTTTCAGTGTCAGAAAATTTCTCCTTCGTTCCAGGTTGCATCTTTCCTTAACAAATTTCAACCCATTGTTTCTCGTGCTGT